AATCAAGCCATAGAGTACCACAGACAGCATCTTAGTATTGCTAAAGAACTGGGAGACAGGGAAGACGAGGGAATGGCCTACAACAATCTTGGCTTGGCTTATCACAAGCTGGGTGATTTCAATCAAGCCATAGAATACAACAGACAAGATCTTTGTATTGCTAAAGAACTGGGAGACAGGGAAGGCGAGGAAAGGGCCTACAATCATCTTGGGTCGGCTTATTACAAACTGGGCGCTTTCCATCAAGCCATGGAGTACAGCAAACAAGAACTTAGTATTGCTAAAGAACTGGGAAACATGGTAAGCGAGTTAAGGGCTTACAATAATCTTGGCTCGACTTCTCGCGAACTGGGTGATTTCAAAAAAGCCATAGAGTACCACAGACAGCATCTTTGTATTGCTAAAGAACTGGGAAACAGAGTAGGCGAGGGATGGGCCTACAATCATCTTGGCTGGGCTTATTACAACCTGGGTGCTTTCAATCAAGCCATAGAGTACCACAGACAAGATCTTAGTATTGCTAAAGAGCTGGAAGACAGGACAGACGAGGGAAATGCCTACAACAATCTCGGCCAGGCTTATCGCGAACTGGGTGATTTCAATCAAGCCATAGAGTACCACAGACAGTATCTTTGTATTGCTAAAGAGCTGGGAGACAGGGCAGCCGAGGGAATGGCCTACAACAATCTTGGCTGGGCTTATCACGAACTGGGTGATTTCAATCAAGCCATAGAATACTACAGACAAGATCTTTGTATTGCTAGAGAACTGGGAGACAGGGCGGGCGAGGGAAGGGCCTACAATAATCTTGGCTGGGGTTATTACAAACTGGGTAATTCAAATCAATCCATAGAGTACTACAGACAAGATCTTAGTATTGCTGAAGAACTGGGAGACAAGGCAAGTGAGGGAAGGGTTTGCCATTACCTCAGTATGGCTTATTACGAACTGGGTGATTTCAATCAAGCGGTGCAGTACGCCATGCAACATCTTAGTATTTCCAAAGAACTGGGAGTAAAGTCAGGCGAAGAATCGGCCTATTGGCACCTTGGGCTGGCTTATTTCCAACAGAGTGATTTCAACCAAACTATAGAGAGCCACAGGCAACAACTGAGTCTTGCTGAAGAACTGGGAAACAGGGCAGCTACGGTCTACATTTGTCTTGGCTACGCCTATTACGAGCTAGGTGATTGCAATCAAGCGATCAGTTACGCCAACCAATGTCTACGTATTGCTGGAAAACTGTCAGAAAGGTCATCGGTCTTAAGAGTCCTTGGTCTTAGCTATATGAAAATGGGTAAATTTTTTAAAGCCGTGGAGTCTTTCCAAGAATTTCTTGATATCGCTAAACACAAAGGGAACAGGGAAGAAGAAGCTGACGCCTACTCCCTCATTGGAACTGTTTGTGCTGAACGGGATGATTTTAACCAGGCAACAGAGTATCTTGAGAAAGCACTTACCATTGCCAAAGACCTGAGAAACCAGGCCATCGAGACACAGGCCTATGAGGGTCTTGCGGTTGTTTTCAGAAGAAAAGGTGACTTTGAACGAGCCATCGAGTATCTTAAGAAATGTCTTGCCATTGG